TAGAAAAAACGAAAGTTCCGCAGATTTTAGACAACATTGCAACTGATTTTAAACTTGCAGATGGCATAAGCGAATCAGATTCAAAGGTTGCTCCTATAGGCATGATTTCTAGGCGTTGTTGGTTTTAAAACGATTATGAAAGTGCAGGCGTCCTATAGACATGGTAGAATCCTATACTCAGAGGGAACTCAAGGTCCCAAAGCAAGGCTCATAAGAGGGGGGCAGAACTTAGAATCTAAGAGGGAGTGTAAGTGCACAACGGGGGACTTAGGAGAAGGCCATGACAAGCTGGTGGTTATGCCCAGCAATCAGGAGTGCTGGCACACCCCTGACTAGCCTATTAGCCACATTTTGAGAGTTGAGATCCATTGAGGATCAGGTTCAGACCTAAGCAACAATTTGGATGTTGTCAGGTCGTGAACCTTAACTCAAACACATAGAAGGGAATGGGGGTATAAGGAGTTCATAACAAACAGCGGATGCAATGAGAGAGTAGCATATTCAATACAGAATATGAACAACAAATAGACAAGAACGTAGCAACTGTAAAATAAACACATAGGGATGGTGCTGAAATCGAAACTAAGGCATACCAGTTTCAGGGAAACAAATAAGTGAAAGCTGAAGTCTTGTAAACCAAATTGCAAGCAATCGGTACAAAAGTTCTCAGAAGAGAGTATAGTATTGAAATTGAAAGGTGTGTGTGCAAAGTATTGAATTCGAAGTATTGAACTGAAGGTTCAAGGTTGTCTCAGTGCAGAAGGGTCGTGCCCCTTTTATAGTGCAGAAAACAAGTAAGAAAAGGTAAGGGAATCGTTTGCAATAAATCACACAGAATCCCTCTTCAGTTAAGGGATTCTGATTTCAAACGGGCAGAAGACAATTAAGGAAAGAATTGAATTAAAATCTTTTCTAAAGTAGTACAAGAAGGGAAAATACATAGAAACTATTTAAGGAAAGAGTTTGATATCAACACGGTTTGTGCAAATAAGGAAATGCAATCAATCAACAGCCAGTAAAATCAGAAATTGAGTTTTGGTATGAATGAATCCAACCAGAAAAGGTGAAGAAAGGTTTAATTAAAGAAAATTAGTAACAATCAATCGAACCTTATTAAAAAAGAAATTCTGAATCAATCACAAATTGACAAACCTTTTTTGAAGGAAGAATTCTTCATATATAAAGCATACAGACATGTCAAACAGGAAAGAACTGTCATGCTAATTAGAAAGATCTAGTGTAGAAAAGTTCAAAGTCAAAAATAAAGAAATTCAAGTTCAGTACATAGACTCGAAACGAGTCTGAGAAAGCCCAGAGTTCCAAAGTAGAACCCTAGTCCGAACACCAGATCAGAACTCTCCCAAAAACCCCAAATCATAGGGTTTCCAGCTCGAGTAAGATACAAAGAGGAGGAGGCAAGTAATTGAAACATGCTCAGGAATCTCTTTCAGAGACTTATGAGAAAAACAAGCAGATACAATAACAAGTTCGAGGCAAACATAGTGTAGAAACTGATTTGAAGCATAAAGACATATTTTAAGAAAAGCTCGGAACTTAAACAGGTTCAGAGGAGAAAACAGGTAACATAGCACTTAAGAGAACAGTAGATGAAACATGTTTAGAAAGAACTCGAACAAAGTCCAGAAGAAGGCAAATAAGAACTAAGAGCTTAGTATAAAATACAGTAAAGGGACACAAGGTTAAACAAACACATAAGATAAACGTGTGAAAGCATGACATAGAAACCAGTAGAAGAAAGAACTGAGCATAGTAGAAGAATATGCATAATAAAGCAAACATAAGAACACAGGGGAAGATCATGCGAGGCATAAAAAGAAAACATAAGAACATAACATAGGCCGATACACACAAAGAAAAGAAGAAGAAGAGTCAGAAAACATTTTAAAACTTTTCAGAAACCCTAAATCGAAGAGAAACAAATTTTGAAAGAGAAGATTGGGGAAAACGTTTTAAAACTCCAGTAGAACACAGATATAGCATGGATCTAAGAAAACAACCCGAGAAAAACCTCGAATAGCTAGGATTTCAAAGAAACCCTAGAAATGAGAAAGGCTTGGAAGAAGGTCCGATCTTGAGTTGGATGAGGTCAGAAAAGGCTTCTAGTACTTGAATATGCCGGAGCATGGCCGGAGAAGCCATAGATCTACAGATCTGAGCAGGATCTAAAGAGAACCATTGGATTGGGGCCTCGAAGCTTCGAACAACCATGGTTTGATGGTGGAGGGGGTGAGTACAGGCCATCCATGGCTTGAGAAGCCATGGATTCCGGTGAAGTAACGGTTGAAAAGGGTGGAGGTCGACTAGGTTTCCGAAGAACCTTTGAGAGAGACAAAGGGATTCAAAGGCGGCTAGTTAGGTGAAAGTGATTAGGGTTAGGGGTGTTTGGGAAATTAAAAAGGAAAGGGGAAATTATGGTCGTTGATCATTTTGATCAACGACCTGGATCAAATGGGAAACCGGGCGGGTTTTTTTAATTGGGTCATGGGTCGGGTAAAAGATGAAATTGGGACGGTCCAGCTGGGGTTTAGGATTGGGTTAATTTGAGGGATAAAATTGAAATGTAAATAGGCTGTAATTGAAATGGAATGAGGCTAAATGTTAAATAGCCAGTTTTTCCTTTTATTTTATAAAAAATAGTAAAAATAATTTTAAAAGCAAATTAAAAGTACTGAGCCAGTTAATAATATAAAAATATTAATTTAAAAATTCTGGAATAAATTTTACAATTATGAAATGCTATTAATCTTAAAATAGGCTATAATTGCAATTGCATGCAATTTAGTCTTTTAAATGCCAAATAAATTTGTAAAAAAATGTACAAAAATTATCTTAACTATATTTTGGTATAAATATGGGAATAAAATAAATCATTCACCCAATTGATGAATTTGGGAATAATTATGGATTTTGTACTGCTAAAATAGACAATAAATTGATTTTAAAAATCTTAAAAAAAATTAGGAAAAAATACCAAAACACTTGGGTATGCTTATGTATGCATGTACATGCTATTTTGAAAGTATTTTGTATACAAAAATACATAGGAAAAAATTGGGTATCAACATGCTCCTGAGGTGATAGATGAAGATCCTGAATCTTCAACTGAGACAGCTGCATTGCTTCTAGGTCCAGAAAACTTTTTATTGGACTTGGTGAACTTGAAATCAGCTGGAAACCCAATCAACCTATAACAGTTTTCTATGCTGTGATTTTGTTTCTTGCAATAAGCACAGAACTGATTGCCCTTCTTTGCCTCTGTGTTTGCTTCTTATCAGGGGAGTATTTGCGACCAACTCCATAAGACTACTGAGATGCAACAAAAGCACTCTGAGGAAGAACATGCTGAGAGATCTGCACTTTCCTTTGTTTCTTATCCCTAATCAGGAGGGAATAAGCATGGTTAACTGAAGGTAATGGAGATAGCATAAGCAAGCTGCTCCTAGCTGCAGCATATGCATTATTGAGCCCCATGAGAAATTGAATAAGTCTCTCATCTTGTTGAGACTTGTAGTGTTTCTCCTTTCCTCCACATGAACAATCACAGGTACAATGTTGTGTAATGTCCAAGCTGTCTAACTCATCCCAAAGTCGTTTCAGCTTGGTATAATATCCAGCAATGTCCAGGTTTGCTTGGGCTAACTCTGTGATTTCCTTTTGTAGTTGATAGAGCTGAGGACCATTGCTCTGCCCAAATCGCTCCTCAAGCTCATTCCAAATGTCCCTGGCAGTTTTGGAATAAAGCACACTCTCAGCTATTTCTTTAGAGAGAGAGTTCAAAACCCAAAAGATGACCATACCGTTACACCTTGTCCATGGCTTGAAAGAGTCTGATGAAATTTTGGGTTGAGGAAAGGAACCTGATATAAATCCAAGTTTGTTTTTAGCTGACAAGGCAATGAAAATGACCCTTCGCCACCCTCCATAACCTTTCCCATAAAAAATGGAGCTAACAAGCACCATCCCAGGAGAATCTGATGGGTGGAGGTAGAAAGGATGAGATGAATCGAGCATGACGGAGTCTGCAGTAGGATCAACAACCTGCGTCACTTGAGGAGTACGAGTGACATAAGTAGAAACATCATCATATGTATCTCCCATGGTGAAAGATGAAGCTGATGAAGAAGACGACTAAAAAAATGAAGCCAAAAGATTGTACCTTATAGCTCTGATACCATATTAGAAAACATGATGTAAAGAACAAAATTTAGGAAATTTTCTATGTATTAAATGAATTCTCCTTTGTACAAAATGTTCCTTTATACAACTAAAAAAGAATCTATGTATAATAACCTATGACAGTTGTCCCTATACTATTGGTAAAAGAATAACCAACTATAAGATAAATACAAGAATAAGAAAAATCTATTTACAATTAAATATAAAAGGAATCTTCTAGTATAATTCAGAAAGGTCCAAGTGAAAGTCTGGGCCGAAGTGATAATCCAAAAATAGTCCACTTCACTATAGGCCAAAAAAATCAAATGCCATCTTAGATCATTATATTGTATCCTTGTTCAGACATAACCTCGAAGAGTCCGACAAAGCTTGTGCCTTGTCTTTGAACCTTAATGTCCTTAGGTCGTCTTCTTTACCCAACTTTCTCTTCTGCTAATCACCATTATCATCGGAGAAAGTCGAAATCCGTGGTCCAACATCCCCCCTCAAGTTGGAGGGAGGAGAAGCAACCCCCAACTTGCCCAAAATTAGACGGTGAGTAGGGCCAGAAAGGGCTTTTGTAAAAACGTTGGCGATTTACGAAATTGAAGGAACGAAGGAGAGGGAAATGAGGTGATAACAACTAGGTCGGGAATCCAAATTAGAGTAAGAATTTGAGAAGAGGAATTGAACAACTAGAATTAAAGAGATGAAAATAAAGGATATGGGAAGAATTCAAGGAAAGAATTCCAAGAACTTCCAAGAAC